AGCAGATGCAGAAGCCCAGTGGTGGGAAGAAGAGAGTTCTTCCAGGGATTAGGTTGTGTGTGGGACTGGCATATAGTGAGATGTGGCAAGAGCCAGGTCATGGAGAATTGTCAATGTCATGCTGAGGAGTTTGGAGGTGACCTTGAGAAGGTGGTGGAAGGCATTCAAAATCTCTGCCAAAGAATAAAGAGTTGGTTGAAAAGCTGCAGGACAGCAGCTTTTGACAGCAGCTGAGTCCATTGATAAACTCAGCACCTTTCAGACTCCTTTTGGGGGAAGGCAGGTTCAATGGAGAGAGCGTCTGAGAACTACAGACTTCTCTGTGCTTCAGGCCTCATCTGTAAAAGGGATCATGACCCTGCCCTCTGTCTGCTGCCCACAGAGGGGGCAAGTATGGGAGTTTGGGCCACCAGGGATAAAGTATCAGTAGTAAGGCTACTGTCTTTTCACAAACAAGGACAAAATAGTTGCATCTGATCAGCTGGGGGAATAGGGCTGCTGCCAAGATTAGTAACTGACAGATGGCTGCCAGTAAAGGAGGTGGTACAATCCGGGCGGCCCTGGGAGAGGTTATTGCAAGGACAGGGGAAGAAGGAAGCTGGGAGGGAGATGCCAAGGAGGCAGCTAAGGTGGCTGACTGGGGAATCCAGAACCCCTAGCCAAGCCTCTGAGCTTGTCTTTGGGTGATCACTCACTCCCTCTGAAGCTCAGGCTCCTTGTCTGAAACAAAGAGGGAGGCAGCAGTGCCTGACCACAGCCCTGTAAGAACTTGAACTGGGAAAAGAAGACTCTATGTGTTTGCAGACTGCCTTATAGTTGACAAGTCAGATTACCTGCCTCCTCTTCTCAGATCCCCATGAGGAAGGGGGTGACATCTGTTGAGGGTCTGCTGCATGCCAGAAACAGGACTGGGTGTTTGTTTACATTCAACTCATGCCAGCTTCATAACAGCCATCGCAGATAGGTATTGGTATATTGGGCTGCCCAAAATGTTCATTTGACTTTTTCCATGAGATGTAATGAAAAACCCAAATGAAATTTTGGGCCAATCCATTATTATTATTATTTTTTACATTTGAGGAAACTGAACTGCTAGGAAGTGGCAGAGCCAGTATTTGACCCCAAGACTGTCTGATGGCAAATAGTCATTATTTCCAGAGCAGCATGCTGCCTCACCTCTATTGGTTTTATCATATCCTTTTGACCTCATGGCCATTTCGAGACAAAAATGAGATAAATTACTTAACTTCTCCAAAATTCTGTTTTTTCATATGTAAAAATGTAGCCAATACTAGTTTCTCTGACATAAAAAGCTTAATATAATCAAATCAATCCAACATATTAGGTTAAACCAACAAAATAACATAAAATATGTAAAGTGCTTAGAACAGTGCTTGGCCAAGCTCCCCTGTCCTTCACCATCTCCCCAAGTTTGCTAAGATTCATGTCCATTAAGTTGGTGATGCCATCCAACCATTTTGTCCCCCTCTCCTGCCCTCAATCTTTTCCAGCATCAGGGTCTTTTCCAATGACTTTTCATATCAGGTGGCCAAAATATTGGAGCTTCAGTTTCAGCTTCAGTCCTTCCAATGGATATTCAGTGTTGGTTTCCTTTAGGATTGATGGGTTTGATCACCTTGCAGTCTAAGGGACTCTCTAAAGTCTTCTCCAACACCACAGTTCAAAAGCATTAATTCTTTGGCACTCAGCTTTCTTTATGGTCCAACTCTCACATCCATACATGACCACTGGAATAACCATACCTTTGACTATATGGACCTTTGTTGGCAAACTGATGTCTCTGCTTTTTAATATGCTATCTAGGTTTCTCATAGCTTTTCTTTCAAGGAACAAGTGTCTTTTAATTTCGTGACTGTAGTCACCATCTGCAGTGATTTTGGAGTCCAAGAAAATAAAATCTGTCACTGTTTCCATTTTTTTCCCATCTATTTGCCATGAAATGATGGGACCTCATGCCATGATTTTAGTTTTTTGAATGTTGAGTTTTAAACCAGCTTCCTCTTTCGCCCTCATCAAGAGGCTTTTAAGTTCCTCTTCACTTGTTGCCATTCAGTTCAGTTCAGTTCAGTCACTCAGTTGTGTCCGACTCTTTGTGACCCCATGAATCGCAGCACTCCAGGCCTCCCTGTCCATCACCAACTCCTGGAGTTTACTTAAACCCATGTCCATCGAGTCGGTGATGCCATCCAACCATCTCATCCTCTGTCGTCCCCTTTTTCTCCTGGCCCCAATCCATCCCAACATCCGGGTCTTTTCCAATGAGTCAGCTCTTTGCATCAGGTGGCCAAAGTATTGGAGTTTCAGCTTCAACATCAGTCCTTCCAATGAACACCCAGGACTGATCTCCTTCAGGATGGATTGGTTGGAACTCTTTGCAGTCCAAGGGACTCTCAAGAGTCTTCTCCAACACTATAGTTCAAGAGCATCAATTTTTTGGCGCTCAGCTTTCTTCACAGTCCAACTCTCACATCCATACATGACCACTGAAAAAACCATAGCCTTGACCAGATGGACCTTTGTTGGCAAAGTAATGTCTCTGTTTTTTAATATGCTATCTAAGTTGGTCATAACTTTCCTTCCAAGGAGTAAACATCTTTTAATTTCATGGCTGCAATCACAATCTGCAGTGATTTTGGAGCCCAAAAAATTAAAGTCTGACACTGTTTCCACTGTCTCCCCATCTATCTGCCATGAAGTGATGGGACCGGATGCCATGATCCTAGTTTTCTGAATGTTAAGCTCTAAGCCAACTTTTTCACTCTCCTCTTTCACTTTCATCAAGAGGCTTTTTATAGTTCTTCTTCGCTTTCTGCCATAAGGGTGGTGTCATCTGCATATCTGAGGTTATTGATATTTCTCCCAGCAATCTTGATTCCAGCTTGTGCTTCTTCCAGCCCAGCGTTTCTCATGATGTACTCTACATATAAGTTAAATAAGCAGGGTGACAATATACAGCCTTGACATACTCCTTTTCCTATTTGGAACCAGTCTGTTGTTCCATGTCCAGTTCTAACTGTTGCTTCCTGACCTGCATACGGGTTTCTCAAGAGGCAGGTCAGGTGGTCTGGTATTCCCATCTCTTTCAGAATTTTCCACAGTTTATTGTGATCCATGCAGTCAAAGGCTTTGGCGTAGTCAATAAAGCATAAATAGATGTTTTTCTGGAACTCTTTTGCTTTTTCAGTGATCCAGTGGATGTTGGCAATTTGATCTCTGGTTCCTCTCCCTTTTCTAAAATCAGCTTGAACATCTGGAAGTTCACAGTTCACTTATTGCTGAAGCCTGGCTTCGAGAATTTTGAGCATTACTTTACTAGCGTGTGAGATGAATGCAATTGTGCGGTAGTTTGAGCATTCTTTGGGATTGCCTTTCTTGGGGATTGGAATGAAAACTGACCTTTTCCAGTCCTGTGGCCACTGCTGAGTTTTCCAAATTTGCTGGCATATTGAGTGCAGCACTTTCACAGCATCATCTTCCAGGATTTGAAACAGCTCAACTGGAATTCCATCACATCCACTAGCTTTGTTCGTAGTGATGCTTTCTAAGGTCCACTTGACTTCACATTCCAGGATGTCTGGCTCTGGTGAGTGATCACACCATCGTGATTATCTGGGTTGTGAAGATCTTTTTTGTATAGTTCTTCTGTGTATTCTTGCTGCCTCTTCTTAATATCTTATGCTTCTGTTAGGTCCATACCATTTCTGTCCTTCATCGATTCCATCTTTGCATGAAATGTTCCCTTGGTATCTCTAATTTTCTCAAAGAGATCTTTAGTCTTTCCCATTCTGCTCTTTTCCTCTATTTCTTTGCATTGATTGCTGAGGAAGGCTTTCTTATCTCTCCTGGCTATTCTTTGGAACTCTGCATTCAAATGGGAATATCTTTCCTTTTCTCCTTTGCTTTTTGCTTCTCTTCTTTTCACAGCTATTTGTAAGGCCTCCTCAGACAACCATTTTGCCTTTTTGCATTTCTTTTCCATGGGGATGGCCTTGATCCCTGTCTCCTGTACAGTGTCACGAACCTCCATCCATAGTTCAACAGGCTCTCTGTCTATCAGATCTAGTCCCTTAAATCTATTTCTCACTTCCACTGTATAGTCATAAGGGATTTGATTTAGGTCATACCTGAATGGTCTAGTGGTTTTCCCTACTTTCTTTAAGTCTGAATTTGGCAATAAGGAGTTCATGATCTGAGCCACAGTCAGCTCCCATTAGAGGGGTATCATCTACATATCTGAGGTTGTTCATATTTATATTGCTACTAATTGATACACACACATACACATATATAGATATACACACATGCATGTATACATACTGCTAGCTAAGCATATATTTTATATGTTAACTACTATATAATAAATAAAAGTTCAATCTTAAAAAGATATATTTGAGAAGAGAAATTACCTCTGGTTGTCTGATATGAAGTATGCATTCCTGTTCATGATAAGTATTTCAAAAGTTGTTAAGTGACTGATTGAATGAACAAGTAAATAGATAATTTTCAATTCTTACTTCCCTAGTCTACCACACTTTTGTCAATATACACATTGACCCGGGACCAGATTTTCTTTTCTTTTCTTTTCTTTTCTTTCTGGTGTTGATAGTGGGTGGGAGGAGGCCAGATTTTTTATTTTTGTAAACTACTGGAGACTAGTGAAACCAAGCTAGGAAGTGCGGACAACTCTATGACTCATCCTCAGCATAGCAAATACAGGAGAACTATATTGAGCCCTTCCTATTCATTTGCACATCCACCCATCTGTCTGTTCATTCACCCATTCTTCCATGCATACATGTAGTCCATAAACATTTAGTACAACAACTACTAATGGGGATCAGGTGTAGCCTCTTGAGAAGTGAAGTAAAATTTCATCCAAGATAAGGACTCTGCATGTGACCACATGGTCCCAGAGGCCATCGGTGTCCCAGGTGGATGCAGGGGGAGGCACAGTATGCTCATGAGATCTTGCAACTCACCTTGACACACAAATGAAGAGGGTGTTTCCCCTGGGTGGACTCGTCCTGTGATGAATACCACCTTCTGCTCTGCCCCCTCCCGAAGGTTGTCTGGAAGATAAAGTGGAAGAAGGTTGCTAAGGAGGAGGGGAAATTTCAGAGGGGAGTTGTTACGTGGGGCAAAGGTGGAGGAAAGCTGTTCCCTCCATTACTCTCTTAAATCATTGGGTTTAATGATTTGGGTTTGCTCAACCTCTAAGGCCTAGCCATTGCTGACGAATTATTGGAGTATGTCCCTTGTTACCCAGTATTAAAAACCACATTCCTGTTCTTTTGTGCAGTTGACCATACTAGTAGTACAATCATCTAAAGAAGTCATATGAGCAAAATCAAATCCCAGATGCATTGACTGCGAAACTGGGCAAGTTATGTATTCCGAGATTCAGTGTGCTACTCTATAAATGTGGATAATAAGATTTTCTTCATAGGGTTGTTGTCATAATTAAACAGGCTTACATATTGCTGAGTACACAGTAAAAATTCAGCTAAGTGATGGAGTAAAGAAGGTAGCTATTTAGATTAGTAATAACAGCTGCCATTTAATTAGCAACTGGTGTCAGGCAGGCTGTATACATTATTTATTATCCTTACAGAAACATGGCAATTAATATTCCTTTCATTGGGGCAGAAACTGAGGCTCAGACAGCTTATATAATTTGTTCAAGTTCTACCTACACAGCTACCTAGAGTAGATCTGAGATTAGAAACCAATTCTGTTTGGCCTTGGTGAAGTACGAGGGCCCAGATTTCTCTTTCATCTTAAACAACTAGAAGTTTGTACAAGATACATGAAACAACTGTTTTCAGACATTGAACAAGAGTCAGTGCAAGACTCATTCCTGAGAAAAGGGAAACTAGTGAGGTGCACCCTATGCCTGTCCCAGTTGTTTGCCTGGAGGCCCACCCCAGGCCGAAGAGCAGAGAGGGGAGTCCCGACAGAGCATGGACATCTCACTGAGATGGAAGTTCAGGGAGTCTGAAACAGGTGGTAGTTGTGGGGTGACAGTACATTTCAAAGGAAAGGGAGCTCTGTAGAGAAAAATTCCAGAAATCCACAAAGAGCTCCTCATGAGTCTTTGCTGGGTCCCAAGATGTACATAAACGAGGTGAATCTCCACAACAATGATGTCATGAAAAACTGATCAGGGAGTGGTGAACTGCACATTCTCAGGGTTCACAGAGGGCTGGGAATCTTCTGAAATCCCACCTTTAAAGTAAAAATCTGCATTAATCATTCAGGACACTCAGAATCCAGCAGGGGCCACACCTTAGTGGTGTAGCTAAACCACTCTAGACTCACTCTAAGAAAATTTTTAAGTAAATCTCAAAAGGATCGAACTGAACAAAATGATTTGACCATCTGCTATATAAAGTCCAACTCTCTCTAAAGGAAGACAACAAAATCTAGATATTCAACAATGCATAATTCACAATATCCAGCATCCAATAAAAATTATTAGACATATAAAGAAGTATTTAGAAAATTATGGGCCAAAATCAGAATCCAAGCTCTTGCTGACTCTACAGAAATTTCAACTGTGTAAGAACATTTAGCTATTGTGCATGTGTGCTCTGTCGCTTCAGTCGTGTCTGACTCTTTGCAACCCTTATGGACTGGAGCCCACCCAGGCTCCTCTGTCCATGGAATTCTCCAGGCAAGAATACTGGGGTGGGTTGCCATGCCCTCCTCCAGGGGATCTTCCTGACCCAGGGATCAAACCCAAGTTTCTCATGTCTCATGCATTGGCAGAAGGGTTCTTTACCACTAGCGCCACCTGGCAAGCACAATGATATTATTAGACAAAAGCAGTAGCCAAGAGTGACATTCCCAGAAAGGAAGGCCAGGAAGAGGTACTTAACCACAGGCAGAAGAAGGGCTGATTGACACAGAACAATGAACCGAAGGAAACAGAGAAATGAACACTGAATGGAGTTGGATTAAAAGATCCCATCTAGATTAGAGGATAATCTGGAGGGAGAGGGGAGGAAGAGATCACCAACAGGCTTTCTTCTTCTACAATGCTAGGGGCAGGTTATTTTGAATGTGGTTCATGATCCCAAGAGTTGATGTACCAAGTAAGAGACTAAAACTTAAAAAAAAAAAACCCACAAAAACAAGACTAACCCTATTAAGGCTGGATCTGAAGGCTTAGGACTTGCTTGGTCTACTGCATGACCAGAATTGAGGTCTCTGCTTCCCTAATACTAGGTCTGAAAATACAACAAGACATATGATGAAGCCAAAACACATTCTTGAGAACTCACTCTGTGCTCGGCTCTATGCTAAGCATTTTTATGAGCAAAGGGAGAGAGAGAAAGCTCACCTGTCTTTAAGAAATTTATGGTTTAAAAAAGGAGTTCAATACCTGAGCACTTCTTGGACTGAATATAAGCTCCTCAAGGGAGAAACTGTGACTTTCATGGTATGTATTTAATGGCTTTCCCAGGACCCTGTGTACAGTAGGTGCTCAGGAACTGGCTATTGAATTAATAAGTAAAATATATTCAAATAGATCATGGTTTATAAAGAAATTTAGACACATTATCTTACTTAATCTTCATAATGCCTCTGTGAGGAGGACAGTACCAACCACATTTTACAGGTGAGGAAACTGAGGCTCACAGAAGGAGGGGACCCATCCAAGGTCACACAGGAGCAGTGGCAGAGTCCCAGGCTAGTGCCCTTTTCACTATCCCATCTGTCTGCTCCTGAATCCACTAACAGCAGCATTAGGTTCTACATCTACTGCGTTTCCATCTATAGTGCACACAAGAGAGTTTGGTTTCATTCCTTATTGCTGGTGGGAGTTGAGCTATGTCTTAGTATTTATGTTGCTTTTTCACTTAAAATACAAAAGACAAAAACACCATTAAGCCCTTTTCAAAAACACTGTCTCACACGGACCCCGTCTCTCCCAGCAGCACAGAAATGATAGATGGCATTACTGAGGCCACAGTGAAGGCTACCTTTATGGATGTCTCCCCTGACCTGGTATCAACTCAATTGCATTCAGCATTTCTGCTGACCACAGGGAAATGCAAAATGGGCATTCTATTTGCACACTAATTTTACCGAGCCCCTGTGTCTTCATAAAATGATAACGTGGGGCTAATAAAAATCAAGCATCCCGGGTGCTAATATAAGCAAATGTTGATGTAGGCAGGTAACAAATTGCTTTGTCATTTAGGAGGCCGTAAAAGAGCATTATAATCATCTTTAGGCAAAATGGATGGGTCGCCTTTGCTTAGCTTTTAGCTTTCATTTGCAAAATCAATTTAAGGTAATGTAGCAGTTCTGAGGTGGTGTGACATGGGTCTACCACCCCCCACCCCCCTCCTGTCACCAAATCCCCAGACTTGTGCAAAGCCAATTAAATATATTCTTGGTGGAGGCAGCAGGGATGATGAAGGAAGTATTCTTAAACAAAGCCAGGGTTGCGAAGAAGCTGAGCAGTGAGCCCAGGAACAACACAAGGGAGGTAGAGCTGGAGGCTTCGGAGGGGGGCACACTCAGGGTTCAGGGCACTCTCAAGTGGAACTGGGACAGCCATACTGGGCTCCCCAATTAACAGACAGTGTTTGCAGCCAAATGTATTTTGTGTAGCATCCCAACACTCACACAAACACATGCACAGGCAAACACTCCTTTGATAGAGGAGTTGTATCCCTCTATCAGCCACCATTTCCTTACTCAGAAAATGTTTACTGAGCACCTAATAGGTAGCCAGGGACTAGCTATTATTATCTTCATTTTACAGAAAACTAAAGCCAAGAGACAATAAGTGACTCGACCACAGCTAATAGCCAGCAGAGCCAGAGTCCCCAGCCAGGTAGTCTGATTCCACTTGTCTTCTTACCCCCTCTGCCTCTTGTGAAGGGGGATAATAACATTATCCAGCTATAGCAGCAATTAAGTAGTGTATGTTCAGTGCTTACTTGGTGCCAGGAACTTTACATGCCTGATCTTTTTTAATTTTCATGGCTACCCAATGAAATATCTACTATTCTTACCCCTATTTTATAGGAAATTGAGATCTAGCAAGATTAGGCGACTTGTCAAAAACCTGCCTAAGTAGCAAATGTGGGGGCCAGGATTAAATCCAGGTCTTTATTAATCTCAAATTTATGCACTTAACTACTGTGTCATACTACCTCTTAGAAATTAGAGTCCTAGTGGTGGTTTGAAAAAATACAGCCACAAATTGTTTGCTAATTTCTTTCTTTCAAGAGGTGACCTCCTTCCCCTTCAGAGTGGGCTGACCTTAGAGAATTGCTCTAAGAAATAGACTACTGTAGAGGTGATGGTGCCTGGCTTTTGAAATTAGGCTATATAAAGACAGTGGCTTCCATCTTGGATGTACTTTCTCTCTCTCTCATTACTCGCTCTGGTTGCCATAACATGACTCTCATACAGCCTGGGGAGAGGTCCTCCTGGTGAGGACCATCCTGCCCCAGATGACTCCAGCCTTGGCCAACAGCTTGCTATCCAGACAAGAATACTGGAGTGGGTAGCCATTCCCTTCTCCAGAGGATCATCCTGACCCAGAGATCGATCCTGGGTTTCCTGCATTGCAGGCAGATTCTTTACAATCTGCGCCACTGTCCCTCATGAGTGACACTGGGCCAGAATAAGCTGGTTAAGATGCTCTTGCATTCCTGACCCACAGAAACAAAGAGATGATAACTGTTGTTTTAAAATGCCAAATTCTAGAGTAATGTGTTAGGCTGCAATAGATAACTAATTAATTCCCCCGGAGATAACTCCATTTCCCCTAGTTGATTGTAGAACTTAAGAAACTTTGCATCTCATCTATTGATGTGCAAGTGAGGACCAGAGCCACAGCCTTGGTGTCAGGATGGAGGGAGAGCCTCCATCCATCTCATCAATTACCAAGGAGGGACCTGTGATTGGTGGAGGTACCAACCAAGATGCCAAGAAGTTCCAGAGAGCACCAGTTGGGCCCTCTGAGAACAAAAATCTCTCAGAAGTTCACAGTTCACATTGTTGGTTTTGTTTCCCGTCTCTCCTGACAATAACTCTGACAATAACT